ATTGAATACAGAAAAGCATATCCGATCAAAGAGACACGGTCCTCTCTTTCGTCTGTACTTGTTGTGTCTTTACAATTCAGCGTATCTGATGGTATTGTGTGATGCCTCGTTTTGGTGGTAGTTTTCTCAAGATGAAGAGTACCAGAGAAGAAGGTAATATCTCTACCAACTGTAATTAAGCAACAAGATCAGGCTACAAACGGAATATAAAAACCCGAAAAGAATGTATAAAGCTAAGATTCATGATCAGATTCTATGATTAAGTTATAAGAGAGAGATTACCAGGTAATATATGAAGTTAAGGATGGGATGATCCAACACATCAAGGTTTGCTCCCTCGTCGAAAGCAGCAAAGCACATCTAAACCATAGTAAACGACGAAAGCTTTGGTTAGCTGCTTCTAAAACTGACTATAATACAGAAGAAAATCCAACCAAGAAGAATGGTAAAAGCGTGTGTGTGTGTCTTTACCATGATACATCGGATGAGGAAACACGTAAAGCATATGGTTGTCACATAACCAACCTACCATACATAAGAGAGAAATGGGGGTAAACAGCCGAGACGCAAAAAATAGTAAGTACTCGATTGGATATACTTATATGATTTCCTGCAATTGATGTTTTACCTCTTGAAGCTTCTTGCGCCGCCCTTTAGATTCTACTGGGAACCGTTGCAACATTAGGAAAAGCCTGCCATAAGATAAACATGAAGAACACAAAATCAAGTCCAAATGCAAGGCTACAATCATTTTACGCAGATGTACTCAAATTTAGCACTAAGGGAATCTAGGAGCTAGGCATCTAAGGAGAACAAGCATATAAGTGACTGTGACTGAAAGCAAGATGGATACACTCTGTGATCTCATTCCTCAATGGTGACTCTTGGCAACACAATTCCTCATAAACGTGATTCAGCTGGTAATGACAGAAACTATGCTAATGTCAAATGTAGTACATATTCAAGTGGCGATAGATTTACCTTCCACCGTAAAGTAAAAATCCAAGGGCCGCGAACAACGAAGCACCTGCAGTTATATTCACAAGACAGGTGAGACAAGTACTATGGATTATAACAAGAGAGATATAGTGTAAACATGCTTGGATGAAATAGGAATGAAGCCAATTACCTGCAAAGAACATCTTTGATAGGATTACCATAATTCGAACAGGCTTCCACCACAAAACCAACCAAAGAGCAATCTGGAAATGACAATCCCATGACCCCACAAAAACATTCTCAAATTTTGAATTTCACAAATTTCTTGAAGATTACAAGGGACAGATGGAAAATCTATACCTGAACTACATATACAACAGCATTAATTGTAAAGAAACCTGGCCTCAATCCATCAGTGGAGACCGCACGCGCCTGTCCAATCAAAGAGTGTCATGTACATATAACAAAACCAAAGAACCAGAAAACAAAGAAACCAAACAATATTACTTATCATACATTACCTGATAGTAAATCTCAGCCCAGAAGAGAACCAGAAGAGCATAGGTAGTGAAGAAAGCAAGACTTGGAATATCAAGCAAGATATGTTGCAGAATCTACACGATAACCATCAAGATTAGCAAAAATTAGAACATTGACTTATATACAATGATACTGAAGATTCTTCACCTCTGGATGAATATTCTGCACATCACGCCTGAAGAAAAAAACCACAGCTCGGACTGCGAGA